TAAAGAAGTGGTGTTGTTGTTGACTTCTTGTATTACCTACCTGTTGTTATTTACTCTCGCATTGGTTACTTCATAAATAAATGGAGGTACCCACAGAATACCAAAAAAGATAAGAATGCAACTCTCGAATATATTAAGTGTATAATCTATGGTCATAATGGACATGGACGTTAAGAAAATCAACTTTGTTTACATTAAACGAGCGTCGTGATTTATTCTGAAGCAATAAAAAACAACAGAAAAGATTTCACTGTAAACATCAATACCAACCGAAACTTCAACATAGTCTCGCATAATAAATTAGGTAGGTATGTTGAAAGTTTTTTTTTTCCTACCTAAGCTGATAGCCTTGAGAGGCTATATCAGCGTCGCCTTAACTAGTAGGTGAGCTCACGGGGCTCAAACCTGATGACGTTGCTAGCACGAACCCTAGCAAGAGCCGTGCTTCGCAGAATCTACCACCGGATCGGAAACGCGACCCACTGAGAAGATCCGGCGAGAAACTCAGTGGGCTGTGTCTGAGGGTTAATTTACTCGTTGAGCCCTTCGTCGCAAGCGACGGGTTCGACGAGAACGATGACCGGTGCTTGAGGTACCTAAAAGCACCGTTAGTGGATCGGGAGGATCCGAAATGACGTGGGAAAGTCATTCTACGGAATCCTTTTTATAGCTGTAGTTCGGCAGACAAGCGCAGGTCGCTCTTGGTTAAAAGTGGTAACCTTTGGAGTTTACAGATGGAGCGTCGAGTGTCCTGTAGGTACTATTGCTCTCCAATATTTTAAGCTGGAACATATGACTGCTTCACGGTAGATATAGTAGGGTGGCACCTACCCGTGCAGTTTCAAGACTTCACTCAACACTTAGGTACTGTGTTTGATTTCTTACACGATTTTGTTTTATTACACAGCATATATCGTGTAATAAAACTCAATTCTTCATAACATTCGTGAACATATTAAAAAGTCAATGTCGTGTTTCGTTAGAAAGATTGATATCTGCCTTCGAGATTTGAGCATCGCCATAGTCTCATCACTTTATGCGAGTACAATTTTCGTGAAATTGACACATACTGTCCTATAGACATACAACGTGAATGAAGTCACTTGTGACCAACGGTTTGGCGGCCGGCCTACCTACCTTCTACCTTGCCCACCACAGCCAATTTTTCAAGGTTGTCTGATGGCTGCCGAGCAATATGGCCAAAGTTACCAAGAACACAACACACACATTAAATTAATAATACTTCATTTGGAAATGTATTAATTATGTAGGTATCTGTGCTATTTGAACACACATTGGCCGAATCCTGATTACACAGGAGCCAGTCACCGTCGACGCCTTAGACACGTCCTAACAGATCCATCAGATCGACGTGCAACCTAACCCGTGCATCAGCCCGCTGGGTTTCTCGCCGGTTCTTTTCAGCGAGTCGAGATTCCAATCCGGTGGTAAATTCATTCGCGAAGAAGTTGCTCTGAGTTGTTACACCTCCTTTGGAGGCGCTCGGGCAGCTTCGAAAGGATAAAATCACATAGAATCTTAAGCGAAATTCAGTTAATTTAGTATTTTTAATTTCTGGAAACTCTTTCTTTATATCTATTAAGGTGGCCAGTTTTGGTTTGCACATCCATAGTGTTAAAATCAGTAATAACACACGTAATGGGCATCATCACTTTCTTTAAATAAAATATGCAAACAACACATTTAGATTCTAAATCATCAAAGGTTTTGATATTAAAGTTAGCAAAAACATGTCGAATGCTAGAAAGACTAATAAAATTCAGTCTTATTTATTTCTTTACATAATATAGCTTTTTACAAACACTTTTTATGTCTATATCTATTAAATGGGGCACAGCATTTTCTTTAGAATCAACATAACTTTTATATTCACAATTATTACTATCCTGACAAATACAACCATTTGAGGAAAAAGTTTTATCATTTGCTTTACCTGTAAAATCAGAAAACTTATCTTGAAAAGTGTTTGGACTATCAATATGTGGAGTAAGTATCATGTTAATACTTGGATAAATCAGAAAAGCAAATACAGTTAATGCTACCAGAAATTGTATTGGTAGTGCTGTTGACCAGTATTTTTGTGGATAGTAATAAATGTTAAAATAATGTAGAAAACTATCTGGTGTAAAAGCCCAAATACAAAACATTGTTAGGGTTGTTTTGCTAAATAAGTACAGAAAGAAGCCATATAAAGATCTTGATGGTGTCGGTGCTGGTGTGTGTTCAGGCATTGCTGGTTATTTCGTTGCTAAGTTTTCCACAGTTTTTGTGATAAGAAGTATATTTTTTAGGATTGCATTCACAGCAACTCTTAGGCGTTTTAAATCTAAACTTTTAAATTCTCTGAAAAAAGAAAAGTTATATGTGAGTGTAATATTTTGTCTGTTGTAGTTTAATTTAAAGGCAAACAAGGACAATGGTAAGTCACAAGTGAAATACTTGGTGAAATCTTTTTTTAAATTTGACTTGTATTTTCTTTAATTTGTTCAGTAATATTATAAATTAATAATATGACTATTATTAAATTTTAATCAAAAATGTGATTATGACAGATACAAATATAGGTATTCGATATTCATGCAATATTTCAATACTAACATGTAGAGAACATTAGACTTTAATTGAAATTCTCTATGTACACCACTTCCTTTTAATTCCTTGTCAACATTTAGTACATCGTAGACAAGAGAAGCATTATCATTGGACGTGAATGAGAATTTTAGAGTTCTGTAACAATAGGTTAAATTTAAAATTTAACAATGCACCTGTTAAACTATAAAGTTATAAAATAAGGTCAGGAGTATGTAATTAATTATCACTGTATTAATTTAATACTGTGCAAAATTCTCACATAGCTGTTTTTTCCATACATTTCGTGTTCATTTCGACTAATGATATTATTTTAATATAGTATGTTTAAAGGTTATGTTTACTGATTTTACTGATACGTAATACGTTTTGCGTTTAATTAAATTCGTGTACAGCTTATTATGATTAAGTACCTACTTTTGTAGGTAATACTGTTACGATTTGATGGTTTTTACCCGACTCTTGACCGTAGGAAAACAAAGTTTTTCTCTGCTACGTGCATAGATTATACACTTAATATGGCTACGTGTGTTATCTATGCAAAGTGTTTTTTAAGTGTACTTGACTTTTTGGCGGGAACGCGAGGAGTGAAGTTGTGCGATTTGTTTTATTTTGTTTATTTAGTGTTTCTTCAGGTGTGTAATAACGGTGGTTTATTAACTGTTCAGTATCTGTGAAAGTGCACAAATGTGGGAAAATGAAACAAGGCCGCTGGATGTATTATAACTTCTCGGGATCCTCCCAAAAGGTCCACACCATTTTACTGAGATTATATTTCATCCCATATATCTCATCTCATTTCGCTTCATGCCATGTTTCATAATATTAATCAACTTCTTTTCATTTCACTTCATATTATCATTTGCAGAGTTAATTACTACATTCATCAAATTACTTTCTCAATCTAATTTATCTATACCGTCCCACGCTACTAATTTAATTCATACTTACACTGATATTAATAATGGCCAACACGAACAGTTTCCTTCGTTTTTTATTATTCATAAACTGTAAATATGCGTAACTGTAACGGCGAAAAAAAACTTATTACTTGACACTGGCTAATGCACAAATCGTGCAGGAGCAAAAAAAAAGAAAAAAGAGCATGATCTCAATGTGTTCTTTTTTTTCTACTTCTAGTAACCTCGAGGGGTTATTCTAGATTCGCCAAGCTTGTAGGTGAGCTTACGGGGCCCAAACTGGGAGTGTTGCTTGCACCGCCCTTAGCAAGAGCAGTGCTACGCAGAATTTACCACCGGATCGGAAACGCAACCCACCGAGAAGATCCTGCGAGAAACTCAGTGGGCTGTGTCTGTGGGTTAATTTACTCGCCGAGCCTTTCATCGCAAGTGGCGGGTTCGACGAGAACGATGACCGGTGCTTGGGATACTTAAAAGCATCGTTAATGGATCGGGAGGATCCGAAATGACGCGTTTTGGGCGACGTCGACTGTTTACCATTTAGTCTGCAGGATCGGCTATGTAGTTTCCGGCAGCCACGATGACAGGATTCTTTTGTTTTTTTTTTCCTACCTAAGCTGGTAGCCTAGAGAGGCTATTCCAGCGGAGCCTTAACTAGTAGGTGAGCTCACGGGGCTCAAACCTGACGACGATGCTAATACGAACCCTAGCAAGAGTCGTGCTTCGCAGAATCTACCACCGGATCGGAAACGCGACCCACTGAGAAGATCCGGCGAGAAACTCAGTGGGCTGTGTCTGAGAGTTAATTTACTGGTCGAGCCCTTCGTCGCAAGCGACGGGTTCGACGAGAACGGTGGCCGGTGCTTGAAGTACCTAGAAGCACCGTTACTGGATCGGGAGGATCCGAGATGACGTGAGTTCTTTTGTCCTGACGCTTTATCGAAGTGGCAGGTCACAGCGCATGGAGTAATTTTTTCACCATGAATACCAGACTCATCTATTGACTTGCTTCACAGTTCAGCTATTGTAATAATGAGGAACTCCCAATCTAATGAACTGGAGCCGTCGGGAGAGACTTGGGTCTATGCTTACTCTATCCTATTTTTTCGAGACTGCATCAGTTGATGAATTCGATTTAAGCCTTAAGACTTATTGGTAATCACAAAAACTAATTTAGTTTCAAAAATAAATTCCTATTCAATTATTATCACTTTAAAAAATTCCAGTTATCTGATATAACATATAATATATTATATAATATATATATTATATAATATCTCTAATATATTAAGTGTATAATCTATGTGATATAATGTAGCTCGTCCTTCTATTTTAATCACTTGCATCCGATTAATTACAGTGGTGGAAATTTTTCCCAACACCAAAATTACGAAAAGAACGAATTAAATTGTAAAAGATTTTATTTCTGTATTAAACACAATTTACTATATACAAATTATTATGTAAAAATATTATTTTCTTCTTACTACTTTATTGATTTATCATTATAGGCAATGTTTACAAAAATCGTATAAAAACATTATTATGAAAATGAAACATTACAAATTTTTTCTCAATAAGTACAAAATCAAAACCTTTTTATTATTATGCATGTTTAATATGCATGTGCAAAAATGTTTATAAAATATCCATAAATATGAATTTGAATAACAACTTATGTCAAATGGCATTAACCATTTCTAAACAATTCATAAAAATAACATGGCCTGCTTGATTATTCTCACATCATTAAAATATAACATTCGATCAACCTATTTCTAAATAAGTATGTGCCAATATGAAGCTTTGAGATATAGTGAAAGCAGAATATCAGAAATATGATAATATGTTAGAGCAACTCATACACTGACTGCTTACTAACATTAACCATTTATTTCATTTATGAGGAATAAAATCATCACGTAAACACTTAATATTATAAATAGTTTAAAAAATAATAATGAAATAGGCCGAACGATAGCATATATTTTATAGAGCCGCTTCCTCGGATAGCACTAGTTCTGTAAAAAATAGAAAAGTAGAACTTAGTGCAGTTGATGAGATGTTAGCGACGCGGTCCCCAAGCGGCTGGCGAGGGTTGCGGCTGCTGAGCACCGGGCATGGTCGGGAACTCGTGAGTGGAGGCGGTGTCAGGGGCGCGTTGTTCCCACGGTCCACCCTTCACTACAAACCCGGGACCGGCCGGTGCGTTTGGATTTTCCGCTCCCAGTACAGCGCCGAAATCACCCAAAGAAGGTGCTGCCGGCGGTTGATAACGGTCTGCGACATCTTGTAACTAGAATTAATAATATATATAAATAATAATAAAATAAATATTTATTTAATTCGTCTGTAACAAAGTGGTCATCATTATTTAGATTCTTAGATATGTTACAGTATTTTCTTCAGTTTCCACGAGTAGTAAATATAATTTAAACAATTTTTACATCATCGTCAGTGATCACGAAAACTGAAGCATTCGAAACGTCAATAATACATAAGTATAATGACAATAAAAAACGCGAGATTAAAGCGTACAAGTAGTATTAATTATGTTCTTGAACATATCAAGATATTATTACTGAGTAAAAAAACTCACATATTCTTCAGCCAAATTAAGAAGATGTTCCTTGGCATTAAGTACATTGTCTTCATCACCCGTTATCACCACAATACTGTCATCTCCATGTTTCGGGAATCTAATGTCAACTTTGTATTCGTCCATAATTCGCCTTATATTTTTACCTCGCAGACCAATCAATCTTCTGTGGACACGTGGGTCGATGTCCACTTCCTCTCTGTATTGATTATCCTATAAATTCATTTAAAAAAATTGTATACTTTCTATAAACTCTATAATAATTACTTAGAAATCATCAAATTATTGATTTATTAAAGGACATTTTCCATGAAACTAACCTGCATAGTGAAATAGTTTGACAACACTAGAAAAAGTAATTCCCTTTACCAATCAACATGTTTCAAGTTTAGATACTGACATATTTTTCCATTGCTAACTCATTTAAAATCGTACATTTTTAACATAAGATAAGAAAGAAATTTGCACAACATACCAGTTGATGCACTATTGCCATTATGGAGTCTTTAGCCTGATGAGCTTTATCTTCATATCCTTGAATAGTAATGATATCATCATCTGGCTCTCCACGCTTGGGTAAGTTGATCTGGACACCAAAGTCTGTTCTGATTTTTGTAATGACAGAACCACCTTTTCCTATCACCAAAGGATGATATTCTGGATCGACTTTGAACTTAAGCTCGAAAGATCTGCGAATTTAATTTATTTGATTAAATTTGAATTTCGAATTAAAGCATCATAATGTATAATGTAAAACTATAAATTTATTTTAAAAAGGAATTGTGATGATATATGAAACAAAAACCTGAGTAGTCTGTCTTCTTTTTCTTTTTCCATCTCAGCAATTTTCTCAGTAAGAGCTTGTTTAGCATTTTCAACACTGGTTGGAGTTCCTGTCACCTAAAATAAAAAATTTAACAACTTCATAAATTATATTGTTTATTAATTTTAGTATACTTGTAATTACAGTTACTTGCATATACAGTGCAATTAAATGGGTTTTATTTTTAAGTAATAAAAGCTTATTAACCTTAACAATGTCACTGGTATCTTCATTGGGTGGCAGTAGGATGTGAACATCATATGTTTGCATCAGTTCTCTCCTTTTTTGACCAGCTAATAGACGATGCAATTCATTTGGCACTTCAACGTCAATTGTAATAGGCACCTAAATAGAAAAAACACCTTGAATGAAACCTATGTAATTTGTATTATAGTATAATATATACAATACATAGAAGGCTCGAAACAACAACTGTGTTTTTCTGAAGTGTACCTAAGGTTCAGAAACAGCATGATGCTCTGTAGTAGTATGCAATAGCACAGCAGAATGTGGAGTGGAGCTTGTCTTACATAATAAGATTGAATTATGTATGCAACTATAGTTATCTGTTTTATTTGCATTCTTTGAAGTTATGTTTTTATGAACATTGATACTTGAAACATATTTGTGACAAATATACAATCAAAATATTCAATTTATGGTAATACTTAGTATAGTATAGTAAGTTCATAAGCAATGAAAATATTCAATAATATTTACAACATTATATTTGATGATTAATTAATACGATGCACTGATGAGGAGATGCCCTTGCTGAAGGACATATTCCTGTAACTTTACAAATCATTGCTTACTGCTAATCGCAATTACATAATACTTAAATAACCACCACATTTCAATTAATCGTATTTTATATTATGAATAATATAATAATCTAGTGAAACAAAAAAAAATACATGCACTAATGTTAACTATATAGTTGCCATTTNATTAATACGATGCACTGATGAGGAGATGCCCTTGCTGAAGGACATATTCCTGTAACTTTACAAATCATTGCTTACTGCTAATCGCAATTACATAATACTTAAATAACCACCACATTTCAATTAATCGTATTTTATATTATGAATAATATAATAATCTAGTGAAACAAAAAAAAATACATGCACTAATGTTAACTATATAGTTGCCATTTCTGCATGCATTTGTTAACAAACTTTCTACCTGTTCAAGAAGAGCCTTTTTAGCTCCTTCGCAATTTTCAGGGCGACCCGTTATCTTAATTATGTCATTAGGTCCTGGTTCAGCATTCTCATCAATATCTCTGCTGGGAACATCTGCACCTTCTGTAGTGTCACGTTCAGGGAATTTGATTTGAACATCAAATTCAGCAGTGATGTCCTTGACTTTGGCACCACGTGCACCCATGACAGTTCGGTGATGTCTTTGTGGAATCACACATTCAATCGTTACCTAATAATCATAATAATCAAATTTTAACAACGGCATATTATGTTATGTTGAAGTTTAAAAAATCATTTAAATCAGTACCTTTGCTTCCAAATCCTCAATAATTTCATTGATTCGTGCTTTAGCTACTTCAATACATTCTTTTGGTCCCTTAAGCACGACGCGGTCGCTGTTGACACCTTGCCGAGGAAAAGAAATTTGTACTCCACCACAATCCTCGGCAATACGACGTAGCACTTCACCTCGACGCGCCACGAAGTGACGATGATGTTTCAATGCTACAGACATCTCCCCTTCAGACACATTACTGATCTCTGCTACAGCAGTTTCCAATTGTTTGCGGGCAGCTTCCACTTGTTCTTCTCGACCTATGAATTGATACAAAATAGGTAATTTCATGAAATCATTTCATAATTTATGCTTATTTAAGCAAGGCCAAATAATAACTAGCACAGCACATAAAAACACAGCAAAGATAAAAAATTAGGAATAATAAATTTCTTAAAGGTAAATTTCAATCATAAACATTAAAGTGGAGTTTGACCACTTACCCATAATAAATATTGCTTCCTTATCCTCATCCTTTTCAGTCGGGAAAATTATACGAGCGCCTGTTTGTTCTCTAATTTTTTTAATATTAGCACCATTCTTTCCAATTAAAAACTTGTGATGTTCAGACTTGGCACGGACAGTAGCTGTGTGCGACGTCAGTTCCCGTTCGTTTGCATGTGCCAGCAATTGCTGTTTTGCCTTCTCAACATCTTCACTTGGACCTTTGATTATTACCTTGTCACTCTCACTGTCGGTCGGTGGGAATTTAATCAGGACTCCACCACATTCTTCCATAATAGAATGAATTAGCTTTCCGCCAGCTCCAATAAGTGAATTGTAATATTTAGGAGGAATGGTCACTTCTTCGGTTACAATGTTAGCTTTTTCGTTATGAATTTGTTGTATTCTTTTAACTGCTTCTTCTACATTCTCACGCTTGCCTCGTACAGTGATAACATCGCTATCATCGCCCTCTGCCGGAAGATCAATCACAGTCTGGGTTTCGTCCCTTATTTTTCGCAAATTAGCACCACCCTTTCCAATTATGAACTTGTGGAATTGCTTAAAGATGGGAACTTCTTGCACAAAGGAAGATTCGGCGATTTCCTTTATTAATTTATGAAGGAATTTTTCACACTTTTCGATATCTTCTTGAGGACCTCTTAATTTAATAGGACTTCTCTTTTGTCCCTGATCAGGAAGGCTAATCAACACATGTTCATATTTGTCACGAATTTCTTTGATCTTTTCTCCCCTGACTCCAATTAGTGACTTAATGTAGCGATGATCAACATAAACTTCTTTTGTTCGTTCGTTTTCTAGTTTCATAACCATCTCTCTTAATTCACGTTCAGCATCAGCTACACCTTGGTGGCTTCCTTCAATACGTATAATATTGTTTCCATCGTTTTCGTTAATATTAATAACTACACCAGTCTCATCTTTCAGTCTATTAACTAGAAGAATAAAAACATGTTATAAATTTCATTTACCAACGAAATTGTGAAAAAAACAACCTTTTTATATTTTCTACTTACTATTGGTTCCATTCTTGCCAATAATGTGTTTAAAGAATTTTGGGTCAACAGATAATTCCACGTAGGTGAGTGTAGCAAGTAAGTTCTTCACAAAGTTGTCAAGTTCAACTTGAGCACGCTCCACTTCTTCCGGAGGTCCATCAATTTTTACTTTGTCTTCAGAATGAGTTATGTCTACATGTACCTATAAGAATTGTTCTATATATTTTCTTTACTATTAGCAATAAATCTCGTCTTAATTTTGATGTTTCTAATTACTGTTATCAAAAAAGCATACCAAACAAGCATACGGAACTTTTGAACAAAATTTTTTGCTATTGCATTAATGTGACTATATTATACACACTGTGAATACCTTTGAAAAGTCCTGAGTAATCTTTTTAATATTAGAGCCGTTCTTGCCGATGATGTATTTGTGGATCCAAGTGGGAGCATCAACAGTAGCCGTTTTTACAGAATTTGCTTTCTCACAAACCTTTGATAGAGCTAAAACATGTAAGGAATATAATGTCTGAATACAAGAAATACAACTTATTTTGCTCTTAAATAATTTAAAATAAAGTTGTGACTTTGGCTATGAACACCAGAAGCCATATAATACCAACATATTTTTGTTAACTTCTCTCTATCTACAGTACAAAAATTAATGTAGTTGTTATTTTACATACCAAGGCCAATTTTATTATGAGGTCCATGAAGGGTGATGGTGCCTGTAGGAGAATCCGTTGGAGGCATTTCAACAGAGACACCAGTCTCCTTAAGAATTTCCTGGATTGTAGTACCACGAGCTCCAATTACATACTTATGTTGAGACTTGGGCACTTCTACCCGAACAGTTGCACATTTCTTGACCTGATGGATTATAAGATGTTTAATTTTACATTGCATAAAGTAGTGTACATATTGTGTTTTATATATTATGTTTATTACCATTTCTTCATGTATTTGCTCGATTTGAGCCTTTGCAGCCAGCACACCATTTTTTTCCCCAGCTATAACAATCTCATCACTTTGAGTAGAAGCAGGAGGAATGTGGATTCTGGCACCAGTTTCGGCACTTAGCGCTGCTGCTCTTTCACCGTACGGCCCTTGGATGAATGGATGGTAAATTTTCGGTACTACGACACGTTCTAAAGCCTTTCGTGACTGAAAACCCAATGTCAGTGTTGAACTTTGGTCTTTATTTGGTACTTTGATACTTAACAGACAAACAGAAAGTTTATATATTTTACCTGTTCCTCAGAACACACCCTGATTTCATGTTCAGCTTTTTCTATCCCTTCTTTTGTGCCAGTAATAGTTATTATTTCACTATTGTCTGAAATTCCTGGCACATTAATCTTAGTTGCAGTGACCTTTTCAAGTTCTTTTAGTTTCTGTCCCTGTTTTCCTAAGATCCAACGATAATGCTCCTTAGGGATTGAGATTTGTTTACTGGCCTGAAATTTTATAAGCTCATAAAATATTGTAAATACACCAAATGTTAATTTTTACTTATAATTTCACATCTCTTTTTACCTGTTGCTGAAAATGGGTCAAAATTTGTCGCCGCGCTTCGAGAACAGCGCTCTGCTTTCCAGTGATAAGGAAAGTTAGACTGCCATCTTTGCTGGTAGATATTTCGATGTGCGCTCCTGTATCCTTAGTTATGGAATGGCAAGTTCTTAAGGATTCTCCCTCACCAAAAGTATTAGCATTGTCAAGTTTTCGTTCTTCATATGGCACATGGAAAACCTTATGGAAAATTATCTAATTAACTTAATTTCACTTTTATTGAAGTATTCAGTTTTAAATAAGAATGAAGTTTCTTAGTTAAGAATTATTCCTAAGTCTTATCTGATAAAAATGCTACTTTAGGTAAAATTACATATCAATCATAATTATGTAGGTAACTATTGAAACATGCATTCTCAATAGGTACCTAGTTTAAGATTTAGCATAGATATTTATAATAGATCCTATGAAGTATCCGTTTTACAATACAATTTGAAATCTATTTTATGTATGACCGGAAAAGAATCTAAATTCGAATGAAATTATTTTAAAAATATGGAATTCTATTTTCAAATTCAGTCATTTGTTTATTGATTAGTATTTTTTCTTTTCCTTACATTTCTATTTTTCTCATCAATTTGGACACTATAAAATACCAGCAATTAGGGAATACGAGTTACGTCGCGGTAGCAATAACGTACAAACGAATCTTAAGTTTAATATGACATGTACGAAATGAAGTCATTGATTTGAACATTTCTGTCTTGGAAATATTGATCTTAGAAAAGAGCCCCGTGGTCTCCTGAAAACCAAAGTCAGCAACGTCGAATTAAAGGCGATAGTGGAAGCTGACGATACTCACTCAATCTACCGTTGAGTTAGCAGCAGCTTTCATAGTTAGCATCAAAACTATATCGGTCCATTTGCGTTAAAGAGGCAAAGTAAACATTTGTTAAGTGGGTACTGCAACTACTGCACGAACTAAACGATCGCCAGCGCGACGAACGGCATAAGCTATGCCTCGCGTTGCTTGACAGATACAGAAGCTTAAAGATTTTGAATCGCACTGTCACTTGCGTTGAAAAATTATTTTTTAATAATCGTATGTAAGCAATCGTCATGTTGGTTAGAACCTGGTTCAGCACCCGAGGCCTCAAACGAGAACATATCCCAAAAAAGTTTATAGTCATTGGTGGTTTAGTGCCCGATTAACTTATCACAGCTTATAAACAAATTGCACTGGCATTACTACGGATGTGTATTGTGGAGAAACTGGACTGGTTCAAGTAAAGGATAAGACGTCTGTCTGGTGCATTCTTATCTTGCGACGCAATGGTGTTCGAATCCCGCAAACGGGTACCAATTTTTCTAATGAAATACGTACTTATCAAATGTTCACGATTGACTCCCACGGTGAAGGAATAGCATCGTGTAATAAAAATCAAACCCGTAAAATTATAATTTGCGTAATTGCGATGGCCAGTCGTAGTTAATTGCTCGTTCCTAGTGCTTGCTATACAACTTTTGATTTCATACGGCACAACTGACAACAGAAGCTACAGGAGGATCGGAAGTTTTGCGTTGTCGACTGTTCTCACCAGTTTTTCGCCGACAGACTTCTGCTTTATCTAAAGTTTGGACGACTTCTTGACAGGGAAAAATCAATACCCGAAAAGCAGTGCAAATGTCTTTGAAGAGTTTGTTAGCTCAGTACACCCGACTTTTTTAACGAAGGGCATTGGTAACTTACCACTACGCTGGCAGATCCCATGGATGCATATTTCGATCGGTAGAAATATCAAATATTTATGAAAAAAAAATCCATAACTTTATGTAGAGTAAATAACAATTCCGAAGGTAAAAGCCAAATTTTTTCCACAACGAAAGTTTTAATCTTCAAGCTTAATAATGATTTGTTAAAAAAATGATCATGGCTTTTGACCATAACCATTGTTTTTGACCATGCTGTTGACCATGGTTATCAAAAAAGGTGTTTCTGACACCAATTTAAAAAATTGCTAGTTATAGCAAGCCATTTAACAAAATATTGTTATGTAAAATAATTAATTTATGTAACGATCTATTGGAACAGTCAACAAGAGCATTGATGTGTAACATCAATTTATTTAAAAGAAAAGCGGTAAATTTAGAGGTGCAGTGAAGAACCAAATCAAAGTTTATTATTATGTGTTGTATTTTCATCGCCAGGTCATCATGCCATCGTCTTAGTTGACTGTTATCGTAATCATCATGGATCGGATCGTACGCCGGCGAAATTGGATCAGTAGATGTTTAATGTCTGTTTCTGATGTTAAATATAAGGGAAGCCAAGGGAGCGAGCTCCGGGGGAGAAACAGACGGGCCTGATCTACACCCTTTCCGCTGGAACTTGCATTACATTGCACAAAATATTGCAAATTGCAGTTATTTTTAATTGAAGAGTACATATCATAATTTAGTGACTTACTTGAGTGTGCAGTGAAGAGCCAACTCGAAGTTTGTTTGTAGCCTGTTGTATATTACGTTGCACAAGGGGCTGGGAATGCGGCAATGCTGGAAATAGGTCATCGTAGGCAAATGACACATTGTTCTCATATCCAACATTATTCATTTCTTCAACATGCATGGGTACATCAGGATGAACGGGTATCACATCTCCAACCATCATGGATTGCTGATGCATCATTTTTGTCTCCTCCGGCAGTCCTTGTCCGCGCCGAGTCGTTACAGTACTGTTGAAATTCACAAAAACATGTCATTGCAACCCTATTTGCTAACTTTATTTCATTTAAACAATTGTTTAAATATTAATACTTGTAGTACTTATACTAATTATAATCAAACTTTATTGAATATGAATAATGTATAATTTTGTGAAGGACATGAAATGAGATAGTAAAATTGTTTCATGACATCACATATTGGAATAACTGTGCAGGTTGTGTAGTTTAAATCTAAGTATTTCTTTATGGCTACTAATTTCTATTCTATTGTTAGTGTAACATTACTATCAAGCATAATTTCATTTGTGATTATATGCTTTATAAACCAGAACTGTTTAAGGATTAAAGATTAATACACAAGTAATGTACTGTCTTCACATAAAGAAAAAAGATTAGGATAAGAGTTACTCTAGAAGACAGTAGGACCTAATGGTAAATTGGCATGTTTTTTGGCATGTGTTTGAAAAAAACTAGATAGGATTTAAAGAAACTTGGCTATGGGGATCTAGGTATCAATTCATTTTGGAAAAGGAGTATCCTGCCTGAAAGGATAAGGCATTTAGTGCACAAAAATTAAGTGACATGTCATCACTCATAGGTAGCAGCTTGACTAGTCTCAAAGGTGACCTTTGCTTACTAACAATACCACCTTTAAAGATAAATGAAAAACATATGGGAAAAAATTGTGTTGAAAACTTGAAGGTGACTTTTATTTAAATGGCCTCATAGATAAAAACAGAATGTACTTGTATCAAGCAATGTAAGTATTGGTTTCAATCTATACAACAGGTACAATTTTTTTCCTCAAAATTACATATCTGTGTTCCCCAGCCACTTTCAAGGAATAACATTGTGATGAAAATCAAAATTCTGAAATCTATAAATACTTTATTTGTTGATAAGATATTCATGATCAATCTCATGGCCTACTTAATGTTAAGTGGTCACTGAAGCTCATGGACATCAACAAAGTAAATGATGCCACTCACCACTAATTATACAAATTAGAATTTTTAGATGTTTCATTTTTATTAAAAGATGTTATTTATTCCTTCATTGTGGAAGTCATTTGTGAAAATGTGTAAGTGCATATTTCATTACGAAAAATAATATCAGCCTGCAGGATTCATAAACTAACAGTTGCATCACTCAATATGAATGCACTAGGCATCTTATACTTTAATACATAATGACTTCATCGACATCATCAAATAGCCATTAGTAGAGTCGATAGCATGATACATAATCTACGCAGGAACACAAACTTGTCAATTTAAGCTGCAGAGCAGTCACACATTCTGGTTTGAGCAGTGGAACAGCCATTGTATAACATGACTTTGAACTGATGTCTCGAGGTGGGCAACAGCATTAACACTGTGATATCTATGGACTCCACTAACCAGTTCAAACCAGATGGCTTGTGAGTTCTTTCACCAACCAAGAGCATGAATAAAAAATATCTTGTAACATATTGTGTTTTGTGTTCATTTTACTTAGTAACTTTAGATAAAGTTATGTTTATAAAATTTGTTTAGTTCATCTGAACTAAACATATTTTCATCATTGTACTGTTTATCATAATTGTACTTTTTATTTAGAAATTTTAATTTCCATCCAGATGTTAATGAGTTTTTAATATTTTGAGTCAGAACTATTCTAGATTATTTTANCTTGTAACATATTGTGTTTTGTGTTCATTTTACTTAGTAACTTTAGATAAAGTTATGTTTATAAAATTTGTTTAGTTCATCTGAACTAAACATATTTTCATCATTGTACTGTTTATCATAATTGTACTTTTTATTTAGAAATTTTAATTTCCATCCAGATGTTAATGAGTTTTTAATATTTTGAGTCAGAACTATTCTAGATTATTTTACAATAGCACTTATTTTCACTTATTTTTTGTTGATAAATTACACAACCTTGCTTTTATTTTCTTAAAATTTTACCAGTCTGATTAAGATTCTAAAATATGTCAGTATCTAAATATGTAATTACTTTTTAGAGCATTAAAATATTGCTTGTTACATGTGCACATTATATTTAAGCAGAATTGAAGACTCAAATAATATAAAATGAACTTTGACCATGTAATTTTATTTACTTTTAACAAGAATATTAACTTTACTTTTCAAAAGTATATGTAAATTTTACAGTATAAATGTCGAAGTGTCTACGCATCACTGTGGGTTATGTACGTACTTACTTGAAATTTTGTTTTCAATGTGCGTACATATTTTTGCATAAATAATCTGGTTTTTAAAATTGTACGTTATTTTACAGACTAAGGATGAATTATTATTTTTTAGGTGAAACACTGGTTTCTTCGTGAATATTGATAATACGTGTCACTTTCCAGCACATTTGACGTGGAACTTGTGTTGAACAAATACAATAACACTCACCAAAAGTACTGTATCAAATCAAACTGAAAGATTACGCCGTAGACGCCAGGATCGTACAATTTTTTCCCTGTATAAAAATAGTTTAATAAAACGATTAAAACTTATAAAAGATGAGATTAATTAAATGAAAATATTTTAATAGACGTACCCAGCTGCAGTAGCAAGAGACAATGCTAGTGTTGCCAGTTTATTATATTTTTATTGTAGAGGCTGGAATCAAAATATCAGTAACGGCTAGAGAGATAATGTAAAACAGCTTAGATAATCCATACTAATCTAATATATGCAAGAGTGAGTTTGTTTGTTTGTTGCTCTTTCGCGTCTAAGCTACTCAACCAATGGTCATGAAATTTGGCATACACGTCAGCAGTGCAGAAAATGTCCTATGTATTTGCTTAAATTTATATTTGATGTATTTACATGTTCGGGTACTAAACATAGTATACTGTTTAACACCTATCTTTCCTGTAAATAAGAGTGCAACTACTACGTTCTAGTCTGCATCTACCTTGGATAGATAAGACCTTAATCACGAAGTTCGCCAATTCCATTAAAATGTACAAAGTATAAAAAAGTCAACAAATAAAACATATTAAGACATGTATACATAATAAAACATTTTTTTATTACCCTTGTAGGCAGACGAGCATACGGCCCACCTGTTGGTGAGTGGGTACCATTGCCCATAGAAATATCAGGGGCAGAGCCAAGCCGCTGCCTACCATAATACTGGGTGCTTGGAGACCGCTTCCGAAAACGCAAATTTCGTACCTATAAAGTTGTAAATTTCGGGGAGCGTGGTATCAGCGGCATGGCACGGCGGGGTCGCGTCGCCATGCGTTTAAAAGAAACGGCGTGCCCGGGCGTTCGTTGATCCGAGCATCAGCCGTTTTTTATTTTGTGTTTCATTGTTGTTTTTTTTTTGTGAGAAATAATGTATTTTTTATGAAACTATCGTATTAGGTGTACGAGTATCGTAGGTGTTTAAAGCTAATAAAGCGTTTTAAAAAAATATATATTTAGTCAAGATCGATGTTATTTCCGTTCTATCATCAAAAGTGTCATTTGTACTATCGTCTGTCTTTGTTTTTGGAAGCGGTCTCCTAATACCCAGTATATTAAATAATGATATGGAATATTCTAAAAATGGTTGAAAAAATAATGAAAGACTTAATTGCGTTTCCTGTACAATGTTAAGAAAACAACATTTAAAGCCTTTATTTTCGACAAATTATTATTTTACACAGTATTATTGAATTAAGTAAAACTGAACTCCTCGTTTTTCTCAATGATAGAGAGTTCAGTCAGTCTACATAAAAAACATCTTTTTATAAAAAACTAAAAAGTTTCAAAGGTTTTACATAAAAAATAGATTTTTCTTTACATATAAACTATATAATCACTGGTGGTAGGACCTCTTGGGAGTCCGCACGGGTAGGTACCACCACCCCACCTATTTCCGCCGTGAAGCAGTAATGCGTTTCGGTTCGAAGGGTGGGGTAGCCGTTGTAACTATACTGAGACCTTAGAACTTGTATCTCGAGGTGGGTGGCGCATTAACGTTGTAGATGTCTATGGGCTCCAGTAACCACTTAACACCAGGTGGGCTGTGAGCTCGTCCATCCATCTAAGCAATAAAAAATATATATATATAATACAACACACAACTATATAATACATAGATAATACCAGATTTAAAAATACTTGTGTAATAAATAGGTCCTTATTTTGTTATAATAAGGACTACAATTGTTTTGTACATGCAAATAAGGTACTGTACATAATCAACACAAGACAGTCGGCCTATCTCTTGATCGCATTCTAGCAAGGATGCACCTTATCAACTTGAAATACGCTGATGACACTACCCTGCTCGCATAGACTGACATGGAAATTTTACTAGTTCGTATAGATACCAGTCTTAAACTCGGATTTGCTATGAGCCAGAACAAGTCAAAGCTGATGATAGTAAATCAAGCGGAACGAAATGGAACCAATGCACAAAATATAGCTGATTGCCAAGTTCTACAGATCTACCTCGGTCTACTATCTCAATAATTAAAGGATCTAGTGACGAGATTAAGCGACGGTGCGCCATCATCAAGTCGGCAGTCAAACAGCTGGGAAAGATACAGAAAGATAGGAGGATTACCAAGAAAGCTAAGGTCAGATTAATGAAATGTCTTAAGTTTGTAATATTTCTCTAATAGACTTCTATATCAACTAAACCAAATACTTTTAAGTTTTAAATATTGATTTTCTTTCATAGTTTTTATTTACTCATACTGGCCGTTTTCCAATTACAGCACAAGAGCGCATTATGCGGCATAATGCTCAACTAAGCTCTGTAATTGGAAAACTACCATTAAGTAATGGTTAATTACAGAGCATAATGTGACTCAGTGACGCACAATGCCGAATTATGCTGAAGCTTAGTTGAGCATTATGCCGCATAATGCGCTCTTGTGCTGTAATTGGAAAACAGCCACTTTACGCCTTAAGCTTAACAATCTTAACAAATAAATCTCATCTCTAGTCTCGAAATACCTACCTTTTCTATTTTTTTAAGTGATTTTATAACCTGGTAACTAAGACCTTTAGGTCAAATTTTATTTTTATTTTAATGAAAACTGCACTACATAATATATGAAAAATGATAATACGAAGTGAAATGAAGTTGATTAATATGAAACATGGCATGAAAAGAAATGATATTAAATGAAATGAGATGCGATGATATGGGATGAAATATAATCTCAGTAAAATGGTGGTTATTTACTGAGACTTTTTCGGTGGACTTTTTGGAGGATCCTGAGAAGTTACGTCCAGTGGCTTTGTTTTATTTTCCCATATTTGTGCACTTTTACAGATACTAAACAGTTAATAAACCACCGTTATTACCAGTGGTCGGAGTAGGTAGATTGATTTTACTTACGTCAAGAGATACTTGCGTCAAGAGATTATAATATGGACATGCCATTTTATCCATAATGATAATTTTTTTAAATTGAAAAAAAAAATTTTTTTAATCCTCATCGGATACAATTTCTATATTTAAAAATATAGAATATATATGCTTTAAAAAAGGCCTAAAACACACTTACATAAGAAAATTATTAAAGCTTACCTGAACCAAAATAACATGAAGTAGAGATCCAATCTAAAAACAAATCGATGTCCATAGATACAAGCCAAATTCATCGTTTTAAGAAGGTACAAGAAATCAGTCAAGAAGCCAGGGTGAGATTATTATTTACCCAATACTGAAATTTCACAAATTAGAAGCGCACTACGAACCGAGGTAAGCGAGTGAGATGCCTGAAACACAGCGTGCGCGCATCGTTTTTTCTAACAAACACCCAATGAGTCACACAGGATACTTTTTTTTTTTATTGCTTAGATGGTAGGACGAGCTAATTTGCTTCTAATTGGTCTTTGCGTGCGGTCGATGCGTTGTGCACATAGATGAACATGAGATAAAGTAACAAAAAGCCTTGTCTAAGTTTTGTCTCATACTAACAAGCGTCATTTCTAATTCAACAGAAAGGGACAAAATACGGTGTAACTATTCCAAGGTGCTTTTGTATAAAATAAAATACTGATATTATTAATACGTTTTTCACCTTAAACACAGATTCATGCTTCAAAATTCGGGAACAAATATCACAAAAATATGAAGTTCCGGTATTTTGGAGGCCTATCCATATTGTCCTCTACGTTTGACGTCAACAACCTTAAATCAATCTACCTACTCCGACCTCTAGTTATTACATATTTAAACCTGAAGAAACACTAAATAGACAAAATAAAACTAATCACGCAACTTCACTCCCCGCGTTTCCGCCTAAAAGTCCAAACAGTTTTCTATGAGAAATGGAGTTCATTTTCCATAGGTTAGGAAGAGGTAGTATGTAACTACCTATGCATAAAATCGGGCATAGTCTGTGTTTACGAAAAAAACTCACGCTACCTATCTAATAAATCATCGATAGAAGAGAAAATAATTTGATTTCATTGTCTGTAAAGTTGCATAAATGTCTACAATCTTCTAAAAATGGATAAAATACCAAGAACTCATGAAGGTAAGGTTGTCTTCTAACATATTGATTTGCGTACAATAACAGCCATTTTATTATTATTCTAAATGTGCTTGCTTAAAAGTGTAGCTTGAAAGGTTTTTCTGTAATTTACTCAATGTTATAGCCATCAGATATCAAATAACATATGATTTCACGCTTAAGTCCCCTTAAGCTTGCTTGAAATCCTTTTATCATAAAACTTCTAGTTTTTGGGTCACTTCTGTAATATTTATCTTTTCTAAATTTGAAAAGTTTTGTTTGATCTATCAGTGGCTTTAAGTTAAGGCAATAACAAAATTAGACGCTAAACAATTTATTTATTTAATATTTTATAACTATCGATTCAATTTGTGAAGGAATGATCACACTTAGGAATTTTCGATTTGTCCTGACTAGTTCATTTACATTGGCTGACCTATGAACTCACATTAATGTTAAATGCTTAAATAATATTTAAATTGCATTGATAATTTTAGCCATTGAAGCACAAATAAAAGAAATACAATCAAAAAAAACTGAAGCACCAGAAAATGGTTCCAACAAAGGCGTGTCTCTCGGCGAGACTTACTATGACAGCGATATATATGATAGCACAGGCCAAGGAGGCAAGTCCAGATATGACGGATATGTGACATCAATTGCTGCTAATGACGAAGTAGAAGATGATGACCTCGAAAATGTTCCTATAACTCAGAAAAGGCCAGGATATACAGCACCTGCTTCACTGTTGAATGACATTGCACAAGTATGTTGAAATGAATTGTTAACTGCTACACATAAATTTTTGTTAAAAATGTCATCTAAAAATATTGTTTTAGAGTGATAAAGAATTTGATCCTTTTGCTGACAAACGAAGACCAACTATCGCTGATAGAGAGGATGAATATCGACAAAAGAGGCGCAGGATGATTATATCACCTGAAAGAAATGATCCTTTTGCAGAAGGTTGGCTAATTTTAATTTTTTTCTTTAATCTTCAACAATTGTACACACCCTCACAGATACACACCACACACAATACTATAATACAATTTATCAAAACTACTATTCTGATTTCCAATCTTACACTTCTTTCTTATGTAAGGTTGACATTAGGTAAATACTTAGGCAGATTAAATCAGGTTAAAATA